TTTCGCTCGGTAGAAACGCGCACTTCGACGTGGATCCGCTGAGTTCAGCCTGACATATATTAAGATATGCGTCTTTTTTTTTTTTTCATCTTTCTCGCTCAATAAGAACGCTTTCTTGAAAGAATAACGATGGTTTACGGAACGAAACACGTTTATTAGCCTAAAAAAAAATTTTTTTTACGGTTTTTGCCGATTGTCAATTACAAAATGGTTACACCGGTGATATCACTGGTCGTGCGTTTTCAACACACTGCCGTCATCGGACGTTCCCCGAATACTACTTGTTCCCCGAGTAGGCCAAACCACTAATGAGCTAATAACATTAATAAGTCCGAAGCTCAAATGTCATTACAGGGATTTTAAGGAAGCAATTTCGGGCGGCGGACGAAACAGGAGTCCACGGATATTCCTGTCGGCGAATAACATAAAATGTCAGTAGTCAAAGGCGAAAAGAAAGGAAGACAAACAAAAAGTCGCTATCAATTCACTGTTTTTTTTTGTTTTTTTTTTAGGAAATTAGCTGTTGTCTGTAAGGCAAAACCAAACATCTGAGACTACCCAGCTTATCGCTCCTGCTTCGCGTATGGTGAGTAGTGGCTCAACATGCGCTAAGGTTTTGTCAAGTCGTTGCTCAACAACAGGGAGAGGTGCCAGCTTCAGATACTCACTTTTGCCCGTGTTACAATAATTCCCGATTAATCCCCGAAGCATCGAATACCTGCCGTCAAAATGGACACACCTGAATACTCACTTTCGAGCATCAAAATTGTGACTTTTTTTGTTGTTGTTTTTTCCGTGGGTGCAAGGTTAGCGTCTAGTATAGAACTTGGCCACTGAGTACTACACAAGGACGATCTTCACTAATTTTATTCAAAGATCAAACATGAAACATGCGTGAAAATCATACAAGATTGCAAGAAAAAAGTCGTAGTCAGAATATACGTGATAAAGGTATATTGGGAGACCTACCTGATGTTCATGAAAGCCAAAACGGAGGTTATAACATTTTAATCGCTCCATCTAAAATTAATTAAGATCAACTCAAAGCAAACAGTATGTGCCTATGTGTGCTGCATACCAATCTGTCTTTGATTTTGTACTTTCTCAAAGATGAAATTGCAAAGCAAGACATGATCATCACGAGCATTTTACAAAGCTGACCTCAACAGATCCACGTTGGGGTACTGGGAAAACGGTCATTCTGATATAATTATAATTTTTTTTTTTATGTCGGCCATCGCATGATACTCGACCAAATTTGTGAACATCAGTCACTGTTAAAGCTGGACACAAGTAAGTTCGAAAATAAAGTGCAGGAGCAGCTAGGGGTCTGGAATGCTAGTGACAACATCAGGTCTGCCCGTTGTAGATATCGTCATGCTTTCACGGCTGTTATGATTAAGTCAGCGCTCTCTACGCGAGGAAAAGAACATGACAAACTGAAGGACACAGGCAAGATGACCGATAAAAAGAAATACAATCTAGAGTGGTCACAATCTCCATTTATTTTATCAGATATTGAAGAAGAGACAAACAACAATATAAGGGTCCTAACTTTATTAATTGTAATAATAATAATAATAATTAATATTATTATTCATGTGTTGCCAGTAAAGTCAGAACAGCGGAGGAATAGGAGCAGACATTTTCTGCTAATGAAGGCACGTCCACATAACTCCCTCCCTTCCCCCCTCTCCACAGCCATCTTAAACAAAAAGATGACGGACCGAGGAAGCTTGACTAGTGGGTCCGACTAGAGCCACTAGATAAGCTACGCTTCAGAGTAACGACACTTACCCATCTTGTGGCTTAAAATCATGGTTGCCAGATACCTGAAGCTTTATCTGAAATCACAAGAAACGCTTCTCTGTCCTCAGCAAATGTTTGAACAGTTCGCGACAAAGCAAAACAATATTACACGAGTTTCCTAACGCCGAATCTATTACTGAGGTCGTCGCACTTTTGAATCATGACGATCGGCAGTTGCGTCTGCTCTGTCATAAGCGGCGCCCACGACAATATCGGGGAACAAAGTGCCGACACCCTAAGCGTAGCTCATTTAGTGGCTCTAGGCCCGACCCTAGGTCTCATCGGAACATAGGAAAGTCATCTTCGATTCAATGATGGATTCCATAACAAGATCTGCGACCCATCCATCACCTCGACGTGATGGCCGCCTACCCCTACCCCTACCCCTACCCCTACCCTACCCTACCCTACCCCTACCCCTACCCTACCCCTACCCCTACCCTACCCTACCCTACCCTACCCTACCCTACCCTACCCTACCCTACCCTACCCTACCCTACCCTACCCTACCCTACCCTACCCTACCCTACCCTACCCTACCCCCCCCCCCCCCCCCCGGGCTGTAGTCTTTCAACCCCTACAACTTTTGCCTCAGGATAACTCGGCCAAGGCAGGAGATTCTTCGATAAAAATAAATACATGTTTGCACTCACTCAGTGTCGCCCCTTCACCTCCTAAACACTTCCGACCCCCCTGCCCTTGGTATTTTCAGGCTAAAATCTTGCAGTAAAGCCAACCTGCGAAACTCTCCTTTTGTCGATTAAAGGCCGAAGTACACTTCGCGTTTTCCACTTTTGCCCGCGCCCTCCTTTCCTATATCCTCTCCACGTTTTACCTTTCCCCAACTTGGCTCCCCTCTCAGCTTAGGAGAGGGGGAGCGCTAAGACGGTTATCTTCCTCGCAGAAAACAGAGGTTTTATGTCGGCATTTAATGTGTTTGTATCTGTGTTTGGCCCCTTCTACAAAAAAGAAATGCAACAAACTTTGGCCAAACCCCCAGAAAGTTAACATCATCGGAAACAATAGAAAAAAATTAATATGGCCTTTAAAACAAACAAAAAAACGAACTCAAGTTATGTTTTTATTGTTACAAAAAAAATGTTTTGTAAAAATAAATTAAACCAGTCGATAGCGCATGTATAGGCCTACATGCGTATAGTATTTAGTCAGCAAAAGGTACAAGGAAATCTAAGATGAAAGGCTCCAAATATGTCACAAAAACGTCAAAGATGCAATGTTTGGCTGTTTTTATTATTATTTATGGCATAAAATATGCCAAAGCAGTTAATCTAAAGGGCAAAAATGGCCATGCAGCATACATTTACAAGAAAATTACTGCGAGTTTTTGTTTTTACCCATGTATGAAAAATGACAAAACTGGGTACGAAAATCAAGCAGCCTAAATCTAGAATTTCACCTTAATCCTCTCCAAAATCTCTGTGGAAAATTTTTTTTCTAGAAACTTTTACAAAGTTATTGTCCATTACGAAAATGGGACTATTATACATGTTTTTTTCTTTGGCAAATTAAAATACTCACCGATGTATCTGATCGTACCATCTACTGTGCCATGCCAGCAAACAACTCAAGGGCTTGCACGAATGCCGCGTCTGGATAAACGGATCGTATATTTTATGACTCATGGAATATATAAAAAAGATGTTGTCTGGATAGTCCAATGAGCATACCAGGGTTCATACAAGTTGCATGAGCCGTAACAAAACTTCTACCCAATTTATTACGTGTTCTTGTATAGTTATTAGACGCAGCCGTATATTTGTTTGCTAGGGGTACCCTACAAAAGAATTCTTATTCATGGCGTAGGAACCAAAATGGCTACCATCAAAAACAATTGACGGACTTCAATCCAACCCACATTCGTCACAGTAGCGAGCCTGTATCAGTATGGTAGCACCATAGATGATCTAGGCGATGGCCCCTGTTTAAAATGGCATTCCAGTCAGACTTTCCATTAAAAAAAAAAGTTCGTTTTTTTTAATTAATTAGGTGCAGACTGTTTCCTGGCAGCTCTGATGTCACGCCGCTGCGGCGGACGCCTCAGTTCCTAGAAATCTAGTGTAGAAAACGCAGACAACGTATTTTTTTTTTTGGGGGGGGGGGGGGGGGTTGTTATTCTGGGTGGGGTGGGGGGGGGGGGGGGGAGGGGTCAACTAAAAAAACAACTTGTAACGCCTTTTTTTCATTCAGGTTTTTGGCCACTAAGAAGAGGCCAAATTACTAATCAGTTAGCTAATAAACCAGCAAATTTTAATTAAATGTTTACATTTAATTTTGGCGTGCATTTGTTGCATTCGGAGATGTGACGCTCGACCGCAATATACGGTCTCGCCGTGCTGTAAATTCCGACTAAAAAAAAAACGCGGGTCGAGAAATATTGTCTCACCCTTGTCCACGCGGATCCACTTTAGATCCGGCCTAATCGTTCAGTTCGGTCTGGTACGTTTCGTTTTACGGCGTTCCCCCAATCGAATCCGGCTTCTTTGGGATTCGGTTGGAGGAAACCACCGACGTGTATTTCGCACTCCCGATACCACACACGCACACATACACGATAAAATGCCAAGTCGGCACTTGCAATGTAAGCCGCGGTCGCACTCTGCTCATACATCCTACAAAAGACAGTCTCCACAAATGTTCCAAGCACATATCATCTCTAACATGAAACAAGCATGTTTCGAACGCAGCTTGACTAGGCTAGGTGGCGCGAGCTACCGCCCGTTAAAAAAGGTTGCCAACATCCATCCGTCCCTCCATCCGAGGCATGTCCCCAGATGCTTCTATCATCGTGTCCCCACCAAACACCCGTGTCTTTTGTACGACGTGCGGGGCAGTGTGACTGCAGGGTTCGTGAGTATGCGGAGAGCAAGTCGTCTGCTTCTTGCACAGGACATGCGGTGACGTCACAACGACGCCGAGCTCTGATTGGCTCTGCTTGAAGGATAGTGGGTAGACCTGAAGGCAGCTTGCTTTGAGGTCTGTACTTACTATCCTTCAACCAGAGCCAATCAGAACTCTGCATCGTTCTGACGTCACCGCAAGCCCTGCAAAAGCAGCAGACGACTTGCTCTCCGCATAGGTTAGTGACTACGTGTTGTAATAACGCATGCATGGTGCTGTATAGTGTGCTATAAAGTGTGTCATATTTAGTGTGCGCATATAATTATACGTACACGGTCGTTTTTAGGCGCGGACGAGGCATCGTCCGTGCTCGCACTTTCCATTCGGTTCGGGTTCTGGATCGGGCTCAGGTTGGGGTTCAGGTTCAGGGCGAATCCTCGTTGTTGCTCGGTTTCGTCGTTCTACAAAAAGAGTCGAGACATTTTAAACGTAGATGCCACATTCGGGGTAAGTTTATACCGGAGCCAGAGGGGCGTATATATGAGCTTAATTAACGGGGGGCGGCGCATATGGGAGGAAGTGGCCGAGTGGGCTAACGCGTCTCAGCTCGGAGCGTGGAGCGAAAGCTTGCGCTGGGAACCTCCTGGGTTCGATCCCCGCCGCCCCCGCCCGTTTCGATCTGGATGAGTTTCGTACCGGCACGCGTTCGTGTGATCACTACTGCGTGATGCACGTTAAAAACCCCAGGTTAGCGGTTGTACCGCACTGGCTAAATTTCTCATCTACAGCTAAGAGACCGATTACCCGTTGAGGCGCATCTCCATCAAGGCTGTATAAACATAAAGAGCAAGCCAATTTTTTAGGGCGGCGCATTTAAATATGGCGAGTGGCCGTTGAATTCTTTTTTTCTCTCCGACGTCAATCTTAATTTTTTATCTCAACTCTGTATTGGCTCAGGAGAACCGCGGCGCCGCAGAAAGGCAACAGCCCCTATCCTCCAAAAACCCGTGGTGTCGCGTCTAGTAATACTATAGTATAGTGCTGGGGCTTTAAAATGGGGAGGGGTCCGTGAAGACATTCTAGGAGTCTGTGAAGTTCTGCCTCATCAATCAAGCCCGGAATTTTTTTTTCTTCCATTTTTTTTTAGATTGAGAAGAAACGTTTAATTTTTTTTATTATTTTTCTTTTTTTTTTTAATTTTCGGGTGAGTTTTCTTGCGTGCATGTCAATGAGAGAAGTCTACTTCAAACTAGCCCTTATTTATATTCATTTATTAAACAACTATCCTAACCTATACATTTCCCTTTCCCTCACCATGAACGGGGTCCTCCATCATCTCCGCCAATCCACAAAGGGTCCGCGAAACATCAATAAGTGAAAACCACTGCTACAAAGTACTAAAAAGAAAAGAGGATTTTGGTTGCAATGAAGAGTCCCTACGGTAATTCTCATAAAGCATACTCGGTAGGTTAAAAAACATGTTCTACGCGCAAATAAACTACTAAATCAATCACTTAGACCACTTAAAATTGATGTCAATCAAACGCGTTCTACTGCGGCCTCCCCCTACCTTTGTTCGTGGTTATGCACGTTTCAGGTTATAAATATATTTGGAAACGGAAAATATAAACCTAAAAAATGACAACGACGCTTATGTGCAATAAGAATACGCGTCTAATCCGATGCCGGTTTGAGTGACATGCGTAGTTGACCTCAGTATAGCATTCAAAGTCAGTCAAGAAATCAGGAAATGGGGAGGGTAGCGAAAAGGTTTTTACGCGAAAAAAAAAGTAATAATAATAATAAATTAACAAAATCAAGTGTTTTTTTGTTTTGTTTTGTTTTTTGCAGAAATGGTGGTTTTTATGTATACTATGCTGGGGTGCCAAAGTATTCAAAGGAAACATTTTCAAACTTTTTTCGAAACAAACGTAGCGAAGGTTCAGTACCAGTTTACACAAGAGCCGTGACAGCCATTCCCTTGTACAAGCTTGCCTAAAACGTAACCCAACAGCGCCGTCTTCCAGCCGGAACAGGCATATTTCAGAGCCCTATCCCAGAGGGGAATCCTTACGCCATCTATCAGTCAGAGTAAACAACCAACTGAAGCGATGCACGTGCTAAGGAGGGCAAGAAGGTCCCGCGGAATCCAACTACGGTTAGAAAACGTCTGCTCTGGGAACTGGCACACTATGCTCCGTATATACTCCGCTTGCGGAGCAGGGTATCGTAATGGGCACGTTTGGGTAGCGGCTCCGGGAGCATGGCCTCCGGGGGAGCACTTGGCTCTCGGGCCATGCCGAGGCCCGAGAGTCAAGTAGCTCGCGCTTCTTCGATCGGACGGCCAAAACCGACTTCCGGTGCAGGTTACTCCGGAGTAAAGGAGTCGCGCCCTCGTGCACCGAGTCCTGAGAGACGGTGCGCGAGGAGTGAAAAGAACGCGGTATGACGCATTTTCGAACCGCTGAAGAAATTTCAGGACTCCAATACCCAGGTCAAATAAAGGCGATCATGCTCGGAGTCGTCTGCTTTCATTTTATTCGGAGGCCGTCTGCCACAGGAAAGGAAGCGGAAACTGCGTAAAAACAACTAAAAAAAAAACGTTTTGATTATAATGCAATTAAATGCAAAGGTGCAAGCGAGCTGGACAAGAATGACGAAAATATTCCCTGGAGAAGGGGAACAAGAGGGACAAAGGACGAACACAAATCTCCAAACACAGCGAGGTGACTGGTGCGCGACCGAAAAAATCCGCCTGGTCCGGGTATCGAACCCGGGACCTCTCCATTACAGGTGGAGCGTTCTACCAACTGAGCTAACCGGGGGTTAGACGTCAGTAGAGCAAACGGGTTTTATCAGCCGCCACCAGTCTAATGCCAACAAGGGTGAAGCTTGCAATTTAAGGTTATGATTATAATGCAATTAAAGATTTAAAGAGGTCCCGGGTTCGATACCCGGACCAAGCGGATTTTTTCGGTCGCGCACCAGTCACAGAGCTGTGTTTGGATACTTGTGTTTATCCTTTGTCCCTCTTGTTTCCCTTCTCCAGGGATTATTTTCGTCGCAAAAAAAAACTTTTTTTTTTTTTTTAGGTGTTTTGAGAATTTTGTTTTGAGTTACTTCGCTCGGAGCTGAGGAAGCCGCTACTGAACGCGCCCAATGGTGCTCCCAGGACGGTCATGTTGGATCCAAGATGCACCGCCGGAAGCGGCCGTCGCTTCTGCAGGAGAATTAACCCGGAGGCGCGGATTGCTGCGCCGTGCGGGAGCTGCGGCGACACGCCACGCGTGCGCCCTCGTCGCTTCGTTTGTCTCCTGTTTCTCTTTATGCCTTCGGTGCGCCTCGGTAGAACGTAGTAGCCGACGGAAACGTCGTCCCCTTCTGTCCAGTCCGAGGTGCACGGATGTGCCGGTCCCGTATCACTCCGCGAGCGCCGCAGACGCGAGCAACGCGATGGTCCTTCGTGTCGTCTGCTTAACCAGACTTTGGAAACATGTTTACAAACGCCGCTCGCGTTGTAAAACAACACGATTGTACTGTACCCAGTGGCAACATATAATGTTCAATTTGTCAAAAAAAAAAACTCCAGTTCGTTCGATTTTATAGTACAAGGTGTCGTGTGTTTCTCAAACGCAAAGCGAGAAACACGCTCGGCCCGAAACTCGGCGCCTGCAAGGTCGCTTTTCCGCACGAGGCTTGAATCCAGCTCGGCCCACGTGACCGCTTCTCCGCCAGTACGGAGTCGGCGGCGAAAAGAATAGGAACGCGATACTCTAGCAATCTGCAAGCAGGGCCTATGCGCAGAGCAAGTCGTCTGCTTCTTGCGCAGACGTTGTGGTGACGTCAGAACGACGGCGAGCTCTGATTGGCTCTGATTGGCTTTGATTGACAGGACAGTGGGTAGACATATATGCTAAATGCCTGAACTCACTTTTTTTTTCAATCAGCCAATAAGAGCTTGGCGTCGTTCTGACGTCACGAAGCAGACGAATTGCGCTCCGCACACAGTGCCAAAAGTGCATTGTGACGGTGAACGTGCATGGTCTTTGCGCGTTCATTATCGCCGGCTACACCACTCACGGACGCTGAATGAGCATGCGCAAGGATCACAAGCTAGAACGCGGCGTTCTCGTCTGTCGCGTCTACGACAGCCAGTGAAATAAAGCCCTCTCATCATTATCTGCCGTTCTGGAAGTCTCGCCGAGACACGTGGCATCTGGAGGGCTACGAACTTCATCAGCGGTCCTGAAGAAGATATATGTCCCTTGGCTAGATCATCGGCTGCGGGTCTGAGGCTTCCAAGAGGTCCCCACTCGAGGCCTGCCTGTCAGCTTCGAGCTTTGATCGGACTTATCGGTACTACGAATTGTGGTCTAATACACCCTTTCAAGCGTCCTCGAGATGAAATCAGAGATAAGATCCCGTCAAGGACCACTCCACGCTTTTATCCCTTCACGGTTTTAGGACCTTTCAGGAGAGATGGAATGGCCAAGAAGCAATTTAATTCGTCGCGTTTTAGGAAATTAGATTAATTACAAGCTGGTACGCATCATATATACTACCACGCCTCTACTCTTGACGGTTCTGGGACAACCGTTCAGAAAAGATGGCAGTAATGGCGCCAATCACTTTCATCGGCTACAAGCGATCGAATTGACCCCGTTCTTCGGCCTCGGCGGCTTGTACGTGTCACACTATCAGCGTTGTCACTTTTTCGCCTCCGCCTCTTCACAGTGGTTGTACCACTCCAGGAGAGACGACAGTAATGGCACCACACTCAATACGTAACGCTTTCGTCAGCCGAGACCAATCTGTAGCGAACTGCGTTTTCGGGTCACTTGGTGGTTCCGCAATTAAATGACTTACTGTATAGCTCTATTGAGAAGCTGTCACGCGTCACATCAGTCTTGTCACTTTTACGCGCAGTGTGTATTTTGTCTCTTTACGATTACAGTAACACTTCGGGAAATATGACACTGATGGAATTACTCACTAAGAACGTCACTTTCATCTGAAATTAGCAATATGTAAAGCATCGCGTCGTCGGAGCAATCATCGCTTCAACAATAAAATCAATTACTGCGTACAGCGGAGCGGCTGAGGGTGATAATATGGTGATTTCAGATAAGATCGACCAAAGGGTGGCTGGTCGACATTTTAAAATCAACTGATGTTTTTATATGTCACTGTCTAGTGTCGGGTATAAACGAATCCACGCTTAGTTTTGACCAGAGAAAAAGTTTTGGGGACAGGAAAATTCGTAAAGCATGAAGAGGTGGACAGTTGAATTAACGCGCACTCATGGAGGAGGCACGTTTGAAAGTGAATAACTAAACCGATAAAATTAGGAGAATTCTATTAATTTTTAGTAACAAACTATGGGTGCAGATTGCTTGTAATAGGTAGTAATAATATTTATTTACATTATATTTATTTTTCTAAAAACTGCCAAACATGCTAG